GAAGACACCTTCTCCAGCCACAATAAGACAAACCCTCCAATCAACAATCACGAAAAATCAACCACACACCACCATCCCAAACCCTCGCCAACGCTGAAAATCAGCCAAAAAGGGCACACTGGCACAACCCCAAAAGCAGCAGTGTCCACTCCGACTCCGGCCAAACCTCACCCGCCCCAAACACCGACCAAAGCCCACAGGAACACCACAACCGGAGCTCGCCAACCTCACCACAACCCCGCCCAACACGGTGCCTGCAAAATCAAAGAAAGGATATTATGATATTATTTTGAAATATTGTAATGATTGATACACCATATTATCGTAATATTCTATTATATAAATTATAATAGTCGTTTAATAATAAATTTTGAAAGCGTATGATGTTTCTACCTAAATTTACTTGAATGGTAGAATTAAATGTTTAAAGTGTTGTTTTAGTTTATAAATATGATTTTTCAGTAAAAAAATTGTATTTAATATTAAAATTATGTATAAATAATATATAATTAACTTAAAATCTATAAATCGTTTTTACCAAATTCTTAAACAAAAATTTAGGTTTAAATTTTCTCTAGCATGCATATTCAAAATTATTTACGTACAAATTTTTTAAGTATTAATTTATTGTTAAATTAAATAAATCAAAATTCTTTTTGGGTAATGTATGACTCAAAAAGTGATGAGGTTTATGTGATATTCAAAATTAAAAATAAGAGATGTTAGTATGATTTCATAAACGTGAGGAGCGTTTGTGATATTGTTAGAGTATCTTCGAAATTGCTTGTATGTAATATTAGATATTCATTTCTAATTATTTCAATGAGATAATATCAAAAAATCCTTTCACGTTTAAAAAAAAATATCATTAACCTCTCCTATTTTTAATTTTGAGTATCATATTCACCATCTAACCATTTTTTAAGCCATATTTAATTTAAATAAGTTGACACACCTAAAATGCTATTATAAAGAAAAAGATGATTCTTTCTACCATTGGGAATAGCTGCATTAAAAATTATAAAATAGCAAAATTATCATAAATAATAAAGAATTCGAATGTTAGTAACATAGACTATGGGAAAATAACTAAATGTATTATTAATTTATTTATGGTATCGATTTACATTAGGAATTAAATTAGAACTTGAGTTAGCTTCATCGTCATAAATAATTACAATGCAAGAACAATAAAAGAAATTTGCAGAGGGGTGGAGAATTCACCATAAAGGAGAAAGAATACAAAATATTGTCTTAACTTTTGTAATTTGCCTAATTTGTAAAGAAGAGCTAACTATATAAATGGGACGTATTAAAATTCTAACAATATTTCTAAAAATAGAAATAATATAAAATCGTGTAGAATAAAAGAAATAATATTTTCCCAGATGACACTATCGCTTGGGCGATAGCTTCACGGGTAGTGAGTGCCGTGCATAGCCAAGCAAGNTCATCGTCAGGTCTTGTAATTTGGAGTGCTATTATTACAAGTCAAGACCATTGTACCTTGGGAGACGAGTGCCTGAATGTCGTCGCACCAGTGCGAGGCATTATCGTCTTAAAGAAAAAGAGTCAAACTCTCGCTTCGACCATTAACATTTTAATTCGTTTATTTTTGCAAATCGTTAGTCTGCCCAAATCAATTCACGGTAATATCATTATTTGCCAACATAAATAACCAGAATTTGGTAGATAATGAGCTCCAGATCCTTCTCAGAAGTAGACTCTCAATCCCAATTTTATATTCTCCATTTTCTGTATCTCTCGTGACTTTAATTACAAGCTCATTATCGTTTTCAGTTTACCGATTTCTTGGAAAATAATTGGAATAATTGTTCACAATATCATATTAACAAAATTAATTTTCTTTTGATAGATTCTGTAAAAATCCTAATGGACCATTTGTGCCAAAAAATAAAAAATTCCGTGACCATTTACGCCACATTTAAAAAGTTTGTACAGAAAAAGTAAATTGAGCAAAGATTTAAAACCCATTTGGCGAAAATAATCACCTTCGTGCCTACAAAATAAGTAAAATAAAACATAAGAAAATAACTGGATTGACTTCTTCAACTAACTGACAATGACAATAAGAATAAAATTTATTATATTAAAACCTGTCTACAAAACCAACGACTTCTCTAACAATCAACTACTTCCAAACATGGTATTATATTATATAATCGAAAAATCATAATTTAATTTTAGAGACAAGGCAGGCAAACAAGAATCTCATCATGTTATGTAAGACAGTTGGGAAACTATAAACAGAATCATTCAGTTGATTCTAACCTACTTATAAGTTAATACAACACTTATAATCTGTCTTCATAAATTATTTACATACACATGGGTTATAATTTTAAGAATATTCTCCCAAAAATTCACGATATGATAACAATCTTGAAACGTACACAATTTTTATAAATGGTAACCACGAGAACACGTCGTTTTCCTGATCTTAAGTTAATCATCTCATAAAAGTTATTTTCGATAGCTAGTATCGACAGTAAAGTTACGTGTAGCAGCACCAGAATTCATGTGAGAAAATTCGATCTTTAAAACCCTAAATTGTGAATTGTTGATAATTGTGAATGTGAAACTGTACGAAATTGATTTGGTCGTCAGCACTCACCAGTTACTTTAAACTTCCTATCCAATAATTAATTAGTAAAAATTAATAACAATCTATTTATAAATTAGTATTACTATAACAGGCAACAGAATTTGAGCACATGCTCACACATTGGTCGTCTCTCAGCAGTTTTTATTCAATTATTGAAAACGTTGTTCTCTTAGCGGAGGTTCAAGAATCAACGGCGTAGGGTGCATGCGTTGCATGTATATAGTATTGCTATACATTGTATTTAGACATACTATAAATTGATTTATACTAAATCGAGACAATTTAGGAGAAAAATGTAGAGTTTAAAATGT